CTGTCCCCAGGCCCTGGCCAAGCTGACCCACATGCAGAACCTGGTGGTGTCCATGGTGTCGGGGATCGCGCCCGGCGCCCGGAGCCGCGCGGGGCAGCGGGTGCTGGTGTTGGAGGTGCTGTGCCTGCTGCTGGACATCATCGCCCCCAAACTGAGGCCTGTGAGTGCCCCTGACCCCTCCTCACTGCCTGGGTGATGTGTCCCCTCTGCAAACCTCACCCTGAGCGCTGGGGGACAGACATCTCCTGGGCTGCATCGCCCAGGCTGAGCTATCCCAAATTTCTGTCCCAGATTCGGGGGTGAGTTGATGTTGCAGGTGATGCAGAAGTTGGAGGGAAGCTGAGCACGTGATTCTGAGATACTTGACTGTGTGGAGGGGTCTTGGACCCCACCTGGGGTGGGTTTGGCTGAGCAGGGCTTTGGGGAGCTGTCACAGTCCCCTTCCAGCACCTGGGTCACTGCACCCTGCTCTGGGAAGGATGTGTGTCCCTAGGAGAGAACTAAACCTGTCTGAATACCCTGGGTATTGACTGTCCCTCCTCACACAGACAAACCCTGTGCTGAGGGCTGTTTGAGTGTTCAGAAGTGACTCTGGGTCAGTGATGCTCTGCCCTCCCTGCCAGGTGAACACTCAGCTCTACAGCCAGAAGGAGAAGCAGCAGCTGGCAGAGCTGATCAGCACCATGCTGGCCTACAACCTCACCTACCACCAGGAGCGCCTGCCCGAGGGCCAGTACGTCTACAAGCTGGATCCGTGAGTGCTGAGGGGAAGGGAAGGGGTGGGGCTCAAAACCCTTCCCTGGGAGGGTGGGGAGGCCCTGGCACAGGTTGCCCGGAGAAGCTGTGGCTGCCCCATCCCTGCAAGTGTCCAAGGCCAGGTTGGACAAGGCTTGGAGCAACCTGGGCTAGTGGAAGGTGTCCCTGTCCATGGCAGGGGTGGGACAGGATGGGCTTTAAGGTCCCTTCCAACCCAAACCATTCCAGGATTCCATGATGATTCTGGGATAATAAGAGCAGAGAGCTCAGGAAGGAGGTGGAACTCCTGGCTTTGCTCCATCCACAGCATGGTTCAGCTGCCCCACCACTCCCTTGGGCTGAGGCTGGAGCAGAGCTGGTTTAGATTTAATGGGATTAAAGGAAAGGAAGCAGCTGCCTTTGGCTCTCACTGAAGCTGGCAGAGGGACTGAAGCCACCAGAGGACAGAGCTGGTCCACCTGAGCTCATCACACAGAGGAGGTCACTGTCACCATGGTTCATTTATAAATTACCAGCTTGGCCACTGCCTGACCTGGCTGTGGCTCTGCTCTGAGCACACCCAGAGCCAGAAACTCTGGGGAGCCTTTGGAGAGGCAGCACAGACCCGGCCCCAGTGAGGCCCAACGTTAATGCCTTCCTGGGCAGAGTTAATTACAGTAATGAGCCTCTGTTAATCAAGCAGCTCTATCGAATTACAGTGAACTGCTTTAGTATTGTTTGTTCCTCATGGAAAGGCTGGTGGGGGCTGTAGGGATCCATCCTCTGCTGTCCCCCCCCATGCCACCCCCACGTGGCCATGGGGAGACCGTGGGACATTGGGAGCCACTTTTTGGCATTACTTTGATTTACTCTGCCTGTTTTGTGAGTTCTGAGCCCGTTCCCTGGCTGTGCATAGAATCACAGAATCAAAATTGGCAAAGACCTTCAAGATCATCAAATCAAACCATAAAATGATGGGGACTATGGGGGTGTCACATCCCAGTGGCATCTGGAAATTGCATCCCAGCATCTTTCTGGCAAACAAAGCTGTTGTTGACAGCAAAACCTGTGTTTTCTCTTTATAACTTCTTAAAACATTGATTTGACAGCTAATTTCTAAGTGACTGCAGAGCCAGCTGACAGGAGACTCTGCTCCCTTTATTTTAAGGGCGAGAATATTGAATAAATATGAAATATTTAGAGCTGGCAGAGGGACTGGCTCAGCTGGGGATGATGCTGTACTGAAACAGGCCTAACTCCAGAGCTGCTGCCCCAGCCCTGTTCAGGACCCAAGTGCTCTGATGCTCCAGAGTTACTGTTCCTGGCTGTGTTTCCATTACCCAGCTCCCCAGGGGAGGGTCGTGGTGCCACTCGTACCTGGGCTGTGCTGTGCCCATGGTGTTTTCAGGGCAGTCTGTTCAGCACAGCCCCGCTGCCGTTTCCTCTTGTTGCCTTAAAACCGAGATTAAAACCCCCTAATCCCTCCTGCATTCCCGTTCAGCCCCCTGGCTCCACCCAGGAGAGGGCAGCCCTGGGGAAACTGAGGCAGGATCACGGTCAGAGGTGGACGGGGCAGTGCCGGGGGGTGACTGGGCTCCCTGTGCCCTGCCAGGTTGCATAATGCAGGTTATTTTTAGTATTGATTTGTGTTCCCTGCTCCCCCCTGTCCATGCTGCAGGAATGTGGAGGACGTGTGTCGCTTCCCGGAGCTGCCGTCCCGGAGGCAGCTCAGCTACCAGGCCAAGCAGCTCATTGCCAGGGAGATCGAGCTGGAGAAGATGAGGAGGACAGAGGCTGTGCTGCAGGCACGGAACCCGGTAGGGAGGGGGGGATCTCTGGGGGGGTGGCAGGGCTGTGGATGTGGATAAAATCCTTAGGGATGGCGTGGGGACGTGGGTTTTCCGAAGCAGCCGGTGGCTTTTGCTCTGCGAATGGAAATCCGGGATTAACCCCCCCTCGCAGCTCCTGGCCTGCACATCTGCCTCTGGGCAGCACAGCTGTGCTGGGGGGCTGAGCCCCAGTCTCTGCAGGACTTCTGGAAGGAAACGCTCGCTGTGAGTCGAAGCTTTGGACCCTCCAGCTCTCTGAGGAGGGTTGTGAGGAGGTGGGAATTTTAGGAGGGAATTTGGGTCCGTTTGGCTGCGGTTTGTGTGTGTCTGCTCCCTGCCTGCACCTTTCCTTCCCACTTCACTTCCATAGGTCCCAAAGGCCCCAAGAGGAGCAGAGTTAACTCTGCCCACTGCCAAAACCCTCCTGGAGGCAGGAGGAGGTGGAAAAGGCTGAGAACCGTCTTGGATGTAGCTGGTGCCTGCCCTGGTGCCATGGGGATAATTAATCCCTGAGAGCCCCTTGCTGCAGGAGCAGAGCTCCCGGGGGATGTGTGGGGCAAAGAGATGCTGCAAAAACATCTCTGAAGGCTCTTTGTTTACTATGAAGTCCCAGGGAAAGGGACTCCAGCTGGGGCTGATCCCACGAGCTGCTGCGAGGCAGAAAATGGTGGAAAAAAATCCTGTCCAAGCTCTCGGGATGTTGCAAACCTGGCAGCAAATAGAGGGGGTGGCTGGGATGGGTGACAACTGGGTGCCAGGTGCTTCATACCCAAACCTTAAGCTCAGACACTGCGAGGGGTCCCTTGCTGAGGTCTCTCTCCCCACAGGATCCCAGGAATGGCCTCGGTGAGGAGCGAGGGGACACGAGGCCGTCGGGGACTCCCAACCACCGGCAGCGCCTGGAGCACATCGTGCAGAGGGCGACGGTGGAGGACAAGGTGAGGGGCTGCAGGTCCTGCCCCAGTTCCCACCAGCGCTTCCCTGGGCTGCCAAATGTTCACTGGCTCCACTGGAGTCTTAATTTTTTTAGCCCAGTTTCTTTTAATAGCCCAGCTGAGCACCGTGTGTCCCGCAAAGGCATCGCTGGGATTGCGGCTTTGGGACTGAATGGATCTGGGTGACGTTATGGACGTGCCCTGTGCAGCTTTCAGGGCTGGGGGAGGAAAGAGATCTGGGTATTTGGGTTGAAATAGCTGAATTTGGGCTCTGTGGAAGCTGCAGGGTAGGAGGGCTACTCGGGAGCTGTGGAGAGGTGCATCCATCCACTGATGCCACCCCGGGCATCCCAACAGCGGCCAAGGGGAGCAGAGGTGGTTCCCTGCCACTGCCCCTCTCCAGGGCTCAGCTTCCAGCCCTTGGCTGGCTGTAAAACCTGACTTTAGCACGATCACCCTGAAATTTTGCCTTCCCCTCCCCCGGATTTGAATCTGTTTGCATCCTCCCGAGCCCGCTGGCCCTTCCTGTGGGATTTGCATGTGGCTCCTGCTCTGCCTGGAACCACCCTGGGGTGACTGAGCCTTGCCCAGACAGGAACTTCCCTTCTTTTTGGTCACCTCCAAAGGGGAGCTGGAAGTGCAGGTGCTGCAGAGCCAACTCACCTCCTGCTCTTTGCCTTTCACAGCCCGAGGTGGATTTTTTCGGGCGGCCGCTCCAGCGCAAACAGGTGGCCCCGGCCCCGGGTGGGTGACAGGGATGGGGGGCCCGGGGGTGGCCCCAGCCCTGGGAGGGTGACAGAGGGGACAGGGGGTGGCACAGGTGGGTGGCAGAGAGATGGGGTGGTCGTGGCTGCTGCTGGAGGGAGTCCCTTCATTCCCAATGCCCACCCCAAAAAGGGGCTCTGTCCCTCAGCACCATCCCCGGGGACATCAGTGGGGTGAGGAGGGGGAAATGGGTGAACAGACCCCACAACAACGGGCAGGGGGGGATCCTGTGGGCAAGTCCATGGGTTCTGGCACCATCCAAATGGAATTCTGGGTGCTGAAAGGTTTGCAGGATCTGGGATATGGGAGCATCAGCTCTGCCCTTCCCACCCCTCCCTGTTCTGGGCAGCAGCTCCCTCATTCCCCCCTCTCCCTCCAGCCTGGGCACGGGTTGTGACTTTAAGGTTTTCTGCAAGTTTTTGAGGTGGATCTTTCCCCCCCTGCAGCCCCTCAGGCCTCCAAGGAAGAGTCCCTGGAGAAGCAGATGGGAAAGGCCGTGGGGAAGAGCGACGTGTGGTTCCGCTTCAACGAGGGGGTTTCCAACGCTGTCAGGAGGAACATCTACATCAGGGACCTGCTGTAGCTGGAGCCAGGAAATCAGGGTTGAAACTCAAGGGAGCAGCTGGATTTTGGCTCTCTAACCCCTGTGTCCATGATCTTTGTTCAGGTTATTTTTTTATCACCGACTTATTTTGTTTATAAAAAATAAGGAAATAAAATTATCTAAAAAAAAGAATAATGGAGTATTTTTCTGTTTATTAATAAACCTTTAGTTGTCATATTATGCCTGTTTTGCTGCAAAATGAGATATCCTACAGTATACAAAAGTATTTAAAACCACTGAAAATGAGGGTTTCTTTATAAAAATTTTCTTTACAAGTTGCAAAATGTTGCTGTTTGATGGCAGAGCTGGGTGAGGTCTGAGATGAAGCTGCAGCAAAACCCCAGAGAAACCTTTGCTGCTCCTGCCCCCCCCCACTCTGCCCCCCGTGTCCCCCCCAGATATAAAACCACTTCTACTACTAAAAAGAAGGAGACAGCTGAGGGCAGGGTTTTGTTCAGGTTCTCATATTGGAACTAACTAATAAAAAAAGTACATTCAGCAGGGGGAGCAGAGGGGGGACCCCTCAGAGGATGGTGCATTTGCCTTTCTCCACCCAGGGGTTGTTTTTCATCAGCTCCGGGTTCAAGAAGGGATCCTCGGGAATGCCATCCTCGATCCACTTCACAAACCTGTGGAGAGGGACAGGAGGGGTGGGCACAGCCCCTGCTCAAAGGTGTAAGGGGTGTAGGGTGGGGGCTGTGTGGCAGCCAAACAGGAATTGGGGTAAATCCTGCTCCGGTGGCAGCGATCCTGGGGTGCACCCTGATCCATCGGGAATGATGCTGGGGGAGCAGAGAGAGGCAAACCAGGAGGGAAAATTCCCACCCATGGCTTGATTTTACAGGTTTAAGTCTTTTGGAAAGAGGGGATCTGCACATTGAGGGGCTCCCGGGGTGCCAGGGGGTCCCGTGGCTGCTGCCACATCCCAACCGGAGCTCGGGTGGCTGGAAAGGGGTTGGCACAGGGGCAGGGGGGGTTTGTGGAGAGGAACAGGAACAGAGGACACTGGTGGGTTTCTGCTGCTGGAGCTTGGAGGGTTTGAAGAGCCATAAAGGACAAAAATCTCATTTGGGGACCCCCCCAGGGGATTTGAGGGGGGGAGTTTGGGGTGGAGAAGAGCCGGACTTTGCTCATGAGGGCACAGGGATGGGAAGGAGGATGGGATGGAGGGGGGGGAGGTGGGCACCCACTCACTCAGGTATTGTCTTGGAGGACATCTCCCTCTTGTAGGCCAGCTGGTACTTGAGGCTTTCCACCTCCTTCTTCCACTGTGGGAGGTCCCACTCGTCCATGGTTGGATCCAGGGGCCCTGTGGGACTGGGAATGGGCACAGTGGGGCCGTGTCCTGCCCCAACCCCCCCAGCTCTGCACCCCCAAAGAGGGGTCCCCCAGGATGGGGACAGATGTCACCACACTCCCAGGGGAGGTTTCCAACCCCACTGGTGGCTCCAGGAAATTTTGGGGTTGTTCTGGCGAGGCAGAGGTTGCTCTTACCTGTGGGTGTGAGGCTGGCATGGGGCAGGTGCCCAGTGCCCCCCTCTCTTGTAGCCCAGGGGCACATGCAAAACGCAGGGAACCAACCAGATTTGACTGAAATTTGGATGGTGGCATCGCTCGGGGTGGGGAGTGTCAAACAGCCCCCGGAGGCTGCTTAGGGAGGGGAGGGGGGTGTTTGTCCTTTTCCTGCCTGATCACAGATCCCAGCGGCCCAGGAGGGATTTTGGGTGCCAACAGCCCTGGAAATGGCTCACAGGGATGGGGAGCACTGATTCGGGGAGCGAGGCAAACCCCCCTGGCCCCCGTTTCCCACAGCAGTGGCCCTGGGGGGCACTGGTGGGGACAGCGAGGCACAGCAGCCGATGGGGCACAGGCAGCAGGACAGGCACGTGAGACCCTCTGCGAGCACCTGTGTCCCTGTGCCACCCCAAAAATCGGTGGCAGGAGGGGACCTTCCCCTGCCCGTGGCCCCAGAGCCCCCGGAGCCTCCCCGAGTGACGATGCCCAAGGATGCCCACACGCCCCGTCCCGCACCCCTGGACAGGCTGCAGCCCTCGGGAGAAGGTCAGGGAAGGGCTGGGGGTGCTGGAGGGGGATGAAATCCATCCCCCCTCGGCACAGTTCAGTGCCAGCCCTGCTCCAGCACAGCCTGGCAGCCGCCCGGGCTGCCCCAGCACTGCTTCTCTGCAGAGCATCCCCCGAAAATCAGCCGGGAGAGGGATGAGCCCCACGCTCCGGCCTCCCCGGGCTCTGATCCCTGGAGGCAGATGGGGACCAGCATCCTCAGCCCTGCTCGAGCCATCCCGGTAGCATCCCAGCGCCAGGAGCGAGCCCTGCACCTACCTGTGCCGGGGAAGGAGTCAGCGGGATGGGAGCGGGGCCGTGTCCGTCGCCGCGGGCTCGGGAAGCCGCCCTGGCCTTGCCCGTGTCCCTCCCGAGAGCGCTTCCCTGGATGTTGGCGAGTCCAAATCCTCTGTGTAATCTATTAATGCACGGCTGGTCCAGCTGCCTCCGCCACGGCAGGAGCCGGATAATGGGAGCGTCCTCCCCCCCGCTGCTCCCGGGGGATTTGGCTCCGCGGAACGTGAGCGCCCGGGATGGAAGCACAGCCCTGGTACCCGGCGGCCGAGCTGCCAAATTGGGGTTATCGCTGCCCTCCCCCACCCCTGAGGGACAGAAGGGCCCCCAGGAGGGAGGGGATGTGTGGTGGGACACAGCGGAACCCCCAGGAGGCCCCGCATCCCTCCCCCTGTCCCTGCCTGCATCCCCGGCAGCATCCCTGCCAAAGCCGGCCCTCCGAGGCTTTCCCGCTCTGCTGCCTCTGGATGCTGTGGTTCTTCCCGCTTTCCTGGTGCTGGAGGGGCAGGAGAGGCTGGGGGGCACCTGGGGAGGGGGTGGGTAAAAAAAAGAGGGACTATAGAAGAGGGGTAAGTGGCCCAAGTGAGCAGTTGGGACCGAACATATGGCAGGTGAAAGGGCAGGGGCAGCACAAGGGGAAAAGGGCAAGGTTCAAAAAATATCAATGTGGGATTTATAGGGAGGGACAAAACCCTGGAACAGTTGGGAACTGATTAAAAACAAGATAATTGATGTGAAACCACAAAGAAGTGACGCCCCTCTCCCACTCCCCCCCCCTTCATTAAACAGCACATTAAAACTAAACTTAAGGTAAACTTTGCTGCTTAAAAAACAAAACAAAACAAAAAACAAACAAAAAAAAACCCAACAAAACAAAACAAGGTTTCCACAAATCAAATTTGTCCAAATACAGCCCCTAAAGCTCCTTTTTCCTGGACCTGTGGCCTTATAGGAGTTTGTCCCCTCTGCAACATACACACACACATACATATATATATGTATATGAAATAATAGAATTACGGGTTGAGTTGGAAGGGACATTAAATGCCATCTCATTCCATTATATGATATGTTATATTATATTGTATTATATTATACTGTATTATATTATATTATGTGCATATACATATATAAAGTCAAGAGAGTGTCTGAGTATATATATATAAATACATACATACACACACAAATATATATATATAAAATATGCATAGCAGTGGAAAATATATATTCCTATTCTATGCATTTGTGTATGCAGATATGATCAAATTTATACCATATATCACATTTATTATTTCTTATATGTGTTATAGACAATATATAATGCACAGAAATACACATATACACACATATACATGCTTACATTTATGTGTGTTCATTTATATGTGGACACATATATAAAATGATTCTATATATTATATCATAGAATCATGGAATAGGTTGGGTTGGAAGGGATCTTAAAGATGATCTAATTCCATCATATATTATATTGTATTATATTATTTATTATATTTGCATTATATATAAAATAATATATATTTCAGTAAGTATCTATAAGTATATATATATATATATATATATATAGGCTTATTGAAAGAGGCATCTTCTCTATATAGGCCAGATATAGGAAATACATATATTAAAAAAAAAAAAAAAATTATATATATATATAAAAATATGTTTGATTTCTCAGTCCAGTGTGCAGGGGCCAGGAGGAGGTTGGTGCTGATCCAGCCTCCCTTCCACCCTCATCCCTCCTGGATAATCGATGGAAGAGCCTCCCTGCAGCCTCCTGGAGCCACCAGCGCTCCGGGAGAGGAGGCAGGAGCTGGGGCTGGGCCAGGATCGATGGAGCTGTTAGGGGCCAAACCCGGAGCTTTGCTCTGCTGGAAACAACCCCTCAACACCGCTGGGGTCCCGCGGGGGTCCCCTCGCCCCCCGTGCCCCCCGTGCCCACGCGGGAGGTCGGTGATCCCGGCCCGGAGTCGGGATTATCCTCCCGTTGACATCAGCCCTAAATCTCCCTGCGCTGCCTCCCCAGCGCCGGGAAAGGCTCGGCTTTGATGGCAAAACAGCACCGGCGGTGGGTTATTGGATTTCCCCGGATTTGCCGCAATCTGATGGCACTGGGGGGAATTCAGGAGCCCTCAGAGACCCTAAAACGAGCCCCGAGGGGTTCAGGTCCGTCCCTCCTGCCGGAGCTCGGCCCGGGAGCAGCTCCACGGCCAGGATTTGTCTGGGCAGGTGGGACCAGGAGCACCGGTGCCCAAATTTGTGGGGTCCCCCACCACCCTGGTGGATGGTGGGGGACAAGCCCCTGGCACAGCAGATTGCAGGGCCTGCACTCCCCACCCCCCCCGGGCTGGGTAGATTAAAGAATTATGAACTCCTGAAGTTTTGCAATATTAATGATCGGGGCCATCTGTTAATCTGGCAGCAGCAGCAACGAGCTGGGCTTTGACTTTGCGTAGTGCTGTTATTAAAACAGAGTATTTTTGGCTGGGTGGGCAGCTGGAGACTCCTGTGCATGGCAGGGGCTCCCAACCCACTCCCACACCTGACTGAGTCCAAGGACAGGGACAGAGGAGCATCCCGGGCACAGAACCTGCCCCTCTTTGAGTGCAGCACCACAAATCCTGGGGGGACTTTTGGCCTTCCCATGACAGGAAGGACTCTGAGGGGCTGGAGCGTGTCCAGGAAAGGGAACAGAGTTGGGGAAGGGGCTGGAACACCAGGAATCACAGAATATGCTGAACTGGAAGGGACCCACGGGGATCATTGAGTCCAAGCCATAGCCCTGCCCAGGACACCCCAGGAGTCACACCCTGTGCCTGAGGGAGCTGGGGGGGTTCAGCCTGGAGAAAAGGAGGTTCAGGGGACACCTTCTCACTCTAGAATTCCCTGGAAGGAGGGTGGAGCCAGGGAGGGTCAGGCTCTGCTCCCAGGGAACGAGGGACAGGATGAGAGGAAACAGCCTCAAGCTGTGCCAGGGGAGGGTCAGGTTGGACATGAGGAGGAATTTCTCCCTGGAAGGGGTGTTCAGGCCTTGGCAGGGGCTGCCCAGGGAGGTTTGGAGTCCCCACCCCTGGAGGTGTCCCAGGAAGGCTTGGCCATGGCACTCAGTGCTCTGGGCTGGGGGACAAGGTGGGGATGGGGCACAGGGGGGACTCCGTGACCTTGGAGGGTTTTCCCTCTGACAGCTCCCCCCACCCTGCAGAGCCCCCCTGGGAGCTGGGGGGGGTCTGCCCTCAGTCCCAGCTGCTAATTAGGGCTCTCTGGGGGGTGTTTTCCATACCTCAGCTCTCCAGGGCACACTCCAAAGGGATCCACTCAGTCAGCAGGTCCGTGAGTGCCTTTGGCAGGAATGGTCCGAGCACAGGAGCACAGGAGGGTGGGAAGTGCAGCTGAGGCAGAGGCAGAGTTGGGTGGGGGCAAATCCTCCCCCTGACACTTCATTGTACAGATCCCACCTCGGGGAAGGGGTAAAGTTGCCCCCCCCTCCCCCCTTTTCTGCTCAGATCCCAAAGGATCTCAGCCTCCTTGCCCAGGATTCCACTGCTGGGATGTGGATCCCATTCCTCCCTGAGCAGGGCTGGGAAGGACACAGGGGTGTAGTAGCAGCTCCAGGGCTTGTTGCTCCTTAAATATAGTGAGGGGATTCATACAGAGCACACTGAGAGCAATCCAAGCAATATTAAACAATTGATAAATGTCCTTAAGACCCTGTTTGTGCTCCAAGGGCTGCACAGACCCAGCACAGGAACTGCTGCCCCTCAGCCAAGGCAGGTACATTCCTCCCTGGACTAGGGGATGGCATTCCCACATTCCCATTCCAGACTTGAAGAACATGGGATAAATTCCTTATTTTCAGCTGAAATTTCCTTTTTGTTACAGGCCCTTCCTTGCAGCTCTTGCACTTAGAGCTTGGCAGCCTCAGCTGAGCTAAAGCAGCAGAGCTGTGTTTGCTGAAATACAGCATTTGGAGGGAGCAGCTCCAGGTGCCCATTTCCTTCTCCAGTTTTTTTGGAGACTTTTTGGAGACACTTTTCCATTTTTAATGAGCTGCTTCATCTCAATTATACCTGGAGCTTTACCTTTGGGTTTTCCACTGTGATGGCAATTCCTGCCCCCAGCGAAGTGCAGAGCTCCACACAAAGTGCTTTTTCTCATCCATAAAAGATTAAATCATTATGTATGGGATCTATAGGGCTGCTATAGGTCATTAAAATTCAGAAGGGGATAAATAATGAATAGATGTGCTGTTTACTTACAGTAAAGGAGCAGTTCCCAGCCTTTCCCTGCCATGGGAAATCCAGGTTTGAAGGGGGAAAAAAGCACCTTCCCCCTCACCTGATCCCTCTCCCTGGGCTTGGAATGGGGTGATACAGAGGAATATATGGACTCCTATCTCAGTCCAACCCAAAGCCAAAAGAGCCCAAAAGCCCAGACAAAACAAAACTAAAAAAAAGCCCAAAAGCCCCAACCCCCAAAAAAGCCCCCCCCCCAAACCCTACAAACCAAAAAAAACACCTCCTAACCAAAAATCCAAAGTCCAAAAAACCCCAAACAGAAGCCAACCCTCCCAAAAAAATCAAGTAAAAAAACCCCCAAAACTCCAAAACCTCCCAACGCCCCCCAAAAAATCCAAACAGAACCCAACTGCCATTAAAGAGCCAAAAAATCCCAACCCCAAACAAAAACCCCTCAAAAAACTCTCCAACCAACCCAAAAAAACTCTCCAACCAACCCAAAA